TTGATTCTACACCAGAAGGAGTAGAAGTTGGTTTAATTTTATAATTATTAATACTAACTAGTTAATCTAAATTAAAAAAATAATTTTCTAACGATGTTTACATTTTTACAGGTCACGTTCAAAGTCCACGAATTAAAACGTATAATGGGAAGTATAAACACGATGGTTGGAAATAATGAAGCATCGCTTCTCGTTGGGGCAAAATCACCAAATTTGTTTGGTAGAGGAGAAAGACTCCAAGTAGACTATTCATATGGCCATAAAAATTCATCAAACATAAATATCTCTGCCATGAAGCCATTTTACACTGGCCGTCTAAGTAAAGTGTAAGTAAAAACGAGTATTTCAGTTAGCTTTTTGAGGATGAATGTCATTAGTTGATTGTCAAACGTTGTTTTTTATTTTGCAGATTAACAGCAAGCGTGTACAATACTTCGACAGAATTCCCATGGTCAGGGTACAGAGAAAACGACAAAGGCTTTTTATTAGATTTTGCATTCGACTCAAACGAATCTGGTACTTTTAAACACAATCTTCAGTATGAGGGTATTGTAAGAGATTTATCAGCAACTAAACAAGCAACTTTTAAAGTACGAGAACAATGTGGGCCAACGTTAAAGTCATCTCTCAGGCACATCTGTACAGTCGATAAAAGAGATGAAAAAATATTCCCATCTTATGGAACACTTGTCCAATGCACCACGGAGGTAGCTGGACTTGGTGGGAATATTGGCTTTGTCAAAAACGAACTAGCTTTTCAAACTAATTATTCACCCGTTGATAGTCTTGTGAGGATCAAATTTTTTTCAACACTTTTCACAATCATTCTAATAGTGTAAGAATGACTAACGAATCGTTATTCATTTTTCAGACATTTCAATTGGCTGCTCAAACTGGTTTTCTTAGAGGAATTAACAATGACATGCATATTACTATTGCTGACAACTTTTTCCTTGGAGGACCTATGAATGTTAGAGGTTTTGAAATAAGAGGCTGTGGACCCAGAGAGGAAGGATTTTCTCTTGGAGGAAACACATATTGGGCTGCAGCTCTTCATTTTTATAGTCCACTGCCATTTAGACCAGGAAAAAATACTTTCGGCAATCTTTTCAGGTTGCACGGTTTTGTAAATGGAGGCAACGTCAATAATGCCACCATAAAATTAGGTAAGCTATGTTTTCATGTAATCATTAATGTACAGATTTTTGCATTTTGAAGCGAATATTTTTTAGTAATTTTGTAGTGAAGATAACGATGTCAAATTCAACATCAAATAAATAAACTTTTTTTGCAGGTGGAACCTATGAAGAAAACTTGAAGATATTAACAGAGAATGTTCGTTGCACAGCTGGCTGTGGCGTCGCGATGAAGATAGGAAACATAGCAAGAATCGAACTAAACTTTTGTGTTCCCTTAAAACTCTTGAGAACTGATGTATTTCAGCAAGTGCAACTAGGTTTGGGTGTTCAGTATTTATAAAATCGATTTTGTACTTCGATAGACACGGATAAATTGTCGCAATTTGATTCTTACTTAACTTATTTTTGTAAGAGTCATTAAAAACTTTTGTAAATTTATTTATTTGTTAATCCAAATCTTGTTTTTTGTTTTAATTGTATAAAAAAATAACTAAAGTTTGATTTCTACAAATTGAAAATTTAAGGATCACCCGAATCTTTTCATGAATGTTGAAGAAATTAGTTTCATCTATTATGTTATGACGTACGATTTTGATAAATTACATAAATACGGAGTATAAAATTTCTCTAAAGATTTAAGTAAGTCTTTTGTGCTGCAACATACTAAGAAAATTTCGTTGGAATTAAAGAACGATAAAATTATTGAATTAGTAAATACGTTGAGCAAAAAAGTGCTGTTTCGCAATGACTTAGCTTTGTTAAACATCTAAAAGAATTGGGTTACATCTAAAAAATACTTCAATGAAGTGTATTAATGTGAAAATCTGTTAAACAATGTGTTAAATCAAACTGTAATGTACAGCATAAATATAGTACGGTATATTTTAAACTTGTTATTTTCATTGATTTTTTTGAGAAATCTATGGGAGCCAAAAGTTACATCTAAAACTCAGTAGCTTGCATCATGCTACCGAGATGTAATAGACATCCAATTACAACTAATTATATTTACTTGCGTTATGCACATATGTGTATACACTCTGTTGAAGATCTCTAATTTAGTTGGAAAGTTGATTGTAACTGTCCAATGCAAATTATAACTTTATTTTTTAATAAAGTAACAAGTAGGTACCATTATTATTAATTTTCCTTTACAGGAAAATTCAACTCTTCAAGGCTTTTGAATTCGTGTTATATATATCACTTGATTCGAACAGCGTTGCCACGTTGCATCATGCACCCCTCCCCTCCTCTGAGTTGTCTTTTCTTTCTCCGCGCCAATCGAGATGACAAATTCAATTACCTAGTAAATAAATTTTATTAAGAAAGAGTATTAAATATTTACGAATAAAAAATCACAAGTGTATCATTTTATCCATGCTTATTTCGCTGAAAATTCACTAACACAATTTCTATTTATTTAAAACATTTCAATTAATAGCAATCATTAACATTTTTTTTGTATTGTAATTAATGTATCTGCAGCAATTATTTGATCCGTAAACTCTTAATAATAATTACCACCATTTTACTACAGTTTTTTTCTATGTTTTTTATAATTAAAAAGTCTTACGCATCTAATTTAATCAATTTGTGGACATGACAAAAACGTTTCAAAAATAAAAAGCCAGACCATATAAAAAAAAAAATAGTTGAAAGTAAACAATAGGACAGTTTATCGTGCTAACGCTCATTGCGACTTTTTTATTTTTATTTTTATTTTGTAAGTATTTTGAAGTAAACACAAAAAACGATTATTTCACACACTGTGCGACTTGTCAACGTTGCTTTCTTCTCCGTCACACACATACTTATGCATTGCATTGCATTGCAGCATTTGCAGCACTAGCAAAAATAAGGGGTAACGTAATGGGGGACCAAGAGGGGATACGCGACGTGGTGGGGAGACGGAAAAGAGAACGGGCCGACGGGCGCCGTGTTGCACCGAATCGCGACTCACTTCTCCATCATTACCTTTGAAAATGGCCGCTTGAAAAGAGAACAGCTTACTACTAACAGTCACGTTTACTTTTGCTCTTAAAACTTTCGTAATCGCTAAAGTTGATAAACCTTGGTCTCCACGCCAACATTGTAAAACCCAGTGTTAAATCGTACATCATGGAATCGTACTTTCAATCGTCTACTGGAAGCAAAATTACGGAAAATTGTGCTGCTGCTGTTATTGCTACTACCACTCCTCGTTTTTGTGAACCCAACAACTTTAATATTTCGAGCACCATAGCAGCGAATTTGAAGTCGATTAAAAAAACGAAGTTTGTTTTAAAGAAGAAATTTTCTTCTGTTGCCTTGCGTTTTGTCGAGCCATCATCAGCTGCAATTGTAAAATACACTAGTGATTGTTGCGACAGATACCAAAACATCGATCAACACCAACACGCCCGCAGAGCCCGTCCTTGTGGTAAGTGTATGATTTCTTGCTGTTGACCGAACAAAAAAAAAGTATGAGTTCTCCCCTTCTCTTTTTTTTCGGACGCTCGACTCGAGTTTCAACATATTACACACACAATTTTTGTATACACATTTTTCATTGTGCATTAGTTCTCCATATGACACATTTTACGTGCGTGCGTATAAAAAAGTGTCTCCACGTTTCGGGTATCTTTGCTTGTTTCACGCTTGAAAGTGAATCATGCGCTAAAATCAGGAATGTGGACATCTCATCCCACAATCTATAAGCATGCGTATAATATATCTTGTTTTCAAGCTCATCGAATGCTCTAGCGCTTTCTGCTCCTCGGACAATATCTTGTTTTATTTTTTTTCTTTCCTCTCGTCCACTCTCGGCAATGGCGCTCGTTTCTGCTGTCTGCACTTCTGCAGTCGTCGTTTTACGCGCGAAATCGAGCTGATTGATGATGGAACGGGACCTCGTGCTCTATAGCACATAAGGTAGCACAAGTGCAAATGAAAGAGAGAGCAAAGGGGATCAGACATTCGATTCATTGATTTTGCTGAATGCCGCAGAGAAAATATCTCGAGCTACCGAGACCACAATTATTATTTCTTTCGAGAAACGAAATTATTTATAGAGTTGATGATTATATAGTCTGCGGGTTTGTGGGCGGTGGATTTTAGTGCTTTGTGTTGTTTTGAGCTCGTATATTTTGTTATTCCTAAAAGATTGTTGAATTTTTGCGGGCTTGCGGAGTATTTGCGAATAAAATGTACTTGTCATAAAAAAATCATTTGAAAAAAAGTTGTTTGTACATTGATTTGTACAATAGTATAATCAACTACGTTTATTAATTTTTTCATCATCAATAATAGGATTAATAGGTGTGACTAAACGTTAGATTTGTTTCATGACATCTTTTTTAAATTAGTTTGAATCAACTCTCTTCGATATTTTTAATAGTTGCGTATTTAATCAGCCCCACTAAAAAAAAAAAAATCCCCAAATAAATCCAATGCAAAACATTGTAACTCTCAGGCCTTAAAGCTTCGTAAACATACATCAGCCTCCACACTATCAGCTCCTGCTCTCCACTATCGGCTCCCCTCCCAATAATTATATCGCTCATATTACATAAACAATAAGAAACGGCGTCCATTGCAATCTTGCCAAACTGTATATAGGTATTCCCCTGGCCAGCATTCGTGTTATGCATCGCTTCACTTGCTTAGTATTCGTTGTGTTTCCATGGCTATATTTACCATTGATGAAAATTGGTTAATTCATCATCACGAGGACACTTTTTTACACAAATTTCTTATAAAATCGACGACGACAAAACAATAATTATATAATTCTTTATCATCAATAGTTTGTTGACGTGGGTGATGGTGGGGACTATTATAGTCTATAGCGTCATGAATAAGCCATATACATGTATATACACAATGATGTGTATAAAATACTCGAGTCCATGTGAGTGACTCACGTGGAACTTCCTCTTTCGCGATCGTGGTCCTAGCTTGCCTCACCTGACGTGTTCGTCGTTGTTCTGGTGATTTACTCGCAATGATGCATCACTTCTATCTACATTTTTTTTTTTCTTGAGTTGGGCGCAAAAATATACCAAAGTACAGTTGGGTGATAAAAGAAATACTTCTTTCAAGATTAAAAAATATTTTTCAGTCGAGCTATGTGAACTCGCTGTTATCGATTATGAATTATGTATTTATATAAAAGTGAACGAATTACATTGTGGAGGCACTATTTTTATGTACAACTGTCATTCATTCCAGTAAACTTTTCTGTAATCTATATCCATACGGTTTTTGAAGAAATTATTCCGTCACGTATGGAAGTTATCAAAGCTTCCATTGTCGCGCTATTAAAGTTGTTATCTATTAATAATTTCACTGTACTTTCGATTTATCGTTATCTCTAATCGTTCAATTGTATCGATAAAACCTTGTATTGTGAACAGAAATCGCGAGCTACTTAGCATCACTGGCGCGTGGAAATTTTCGCTGCCTATATAATATTGAGGCAGGTCGATCGAAATTTCTCATCGACAAATACCCCACTGACGCGATTTTTTCCCCCCATTTCTCGCTCTCTTACTACGTAATGTAGATTCTGCTTTATTTGCCTTCCGATTTTCCGTGTGATGAATATATATTTTGACATGCTAAGATATGTAGCGTCAAGTGCCAAGTACACTGATCTTTGTTTTATATTTTTGTTTATAAAAGTACAAATGATAAGTTAGTTTAGCTCTCGCAAATTTTGGCATTTAATGAAAAAAATTAATCAACATTAAGTCAACAGTTGGTTATGCATTTGAGGAAGTAAACTGAATTTTGTGTCATAGTAGTAAATGACAAGTGTAGATTATCAGATAGTGCACGCGTGAACGAAAATTTTAGCTCTTTCCTCGGGCTTATCAACATTGGTATTCGTACTATCTGTATCATTCGCTTACACCCAACTTCGAGTCAAAACCAAACAAAATACCATCCTTTATTCTTCAACTTTTTCTCTCTGCTTCTTTGATCACTTCCATCTGACCCCTTGTCTTCAAACAACATTCCGCATTCTGACTTGACCATATATTAATAACACAGTCCGAGAAACTGAAGTATGTAAACAAGATTTTAAAAAAAGTGATGACGACATTGAATGAAAACTCGCTTACAGTGCACTTGAACTATTTACTTCAAAAAGTCATTAAGAGGAGGAGGAAACGAAAACGATAAAGCTGCTTGTAAAACTGAAAATACTGCACTTTTCTGCGCCATTGCATCAGAAAGTAATTAATATAGCTAAACAAGTGACTATTCATCAAATTGTTCACTTTGGTCTTTCTTCCTCTTTCTCTTTCTCCATATATATATTAGCGTTTAAGCGAAAGTTAATTACTCTCAGGCAAGTCACGCATATCAAAATTTTGTATATAATTTTCTTGATTCGTTTGAATAATTGATCAATTGATCTCTATGGATACAAATAATAGTGTGCAAAAAAAATATATTGGTACAAAAACAATAGAAGCATACAAAAAAAAGTAATAATCGAAATTTTTTTGTAGTGCCTCACAGCAGCGGCGTAAAGTTTCGTAGAGGCGGATCTTGGCGCGTTCAAGGTGCACCAATGATCGGCTACTAGTGCTGAGAAGCTTCAAGTCCAGAGCAAAATGGACTACCCGCCAAGGTATCCGGACGCTTGTCTAAACTCGGAATCCTCAACGAGCCCCTACTCGTTCAACGTCAACTATATTTATCACCAGCATCAACAACAACTCGATATCCAAAACATGCACTACGACGCAACTAAGATACCTTCGATGCAGCAACGCGCCCGCCAGATGCGAGCCGATCTGCATGAGAATATCAAAAACTCCAGTCTCGGGTACGTTTATTGTTAAACAAAGGAGCCTGACATTGAGTTAGATTTAAAATATTGTTTACTTTCACTATATCCTTCTTTTACATTTTTTGCGTCAACGGAAAAACTTGTTTCATTCAAATTAATTTTCTTGTAACTTCACGATAAGTACAAAAAAAAAACTAACTTCGTTTTTTATCAACAGGAGCGACTACCCGACTAAACAGTCGTTAAGCGCCGACAGCATGATCGAGCAGCCGGAAAAGAAAGGCCTGTGGCAGAGCATGTTCAGAAGCGCAACGAATTTGCTGGGCGAGCATTTGAGTCGTGGTACTGGCTCGTTCATCAGAAACTGGACCAGCATGAACAGCAGTCCGCTGTCGGTGACCGTAGTTTCGCCTGACCTCTACAAAACTTTGCACACCACTGGCGTTCAGGAGTCGATGAACGTCGATGCCGGTACGTTATTTACAACGACCGCATGGTGTAACAGTGGCAGTAGTACTGATAATACAGACTCGAGAGACGAGACTCTAGCTAGTGTTTTATACAATAATGACAGTTTGAACGGTAGTTGTAAAGTTAAGCTGGTGAACTGTTGTAGTGTTAGTGATCCTAGTGACGTTGATAAGCGTTGGAAAGAGTACAAGAACATGTATGTCGATTGCAACGCTTTACAGCAAGAGCACGAAGAGAAAAACAAACCGGAGACTGTTGATACCGACGAGATGAGTGATGTGCATTTGGAGTCCATCGAAAGCATCATCATTAGAGACGAAAAAGGTATTTGCAGAAACTATTATATAAAATGAAAGCTATACGTTCAGTACTGTAAAGCTTTTTTTGGCACCTCAAATTTCCCGTCTGTTTTGAAGGACGATATTTATATTACTTAGCCTTCTGTCAGATTCTTTACCTTGTATCAATTTGCGCTGACCATTAGTAAACTTTTTTGTGTTTTAATAGGAAAAGGGACAAAATGTAGGATATTTTGAAAGAGCTTGCAATTAGTGTTCTCTGAAAATTTATGAATTGTACAGCTATATTTTTATTTTGTGTTCTGTTAAAGTAAATAATAGAGATTCTATTTATAAAGTTATACATTATCTAGAGACAAATGTTTTTCTTTTTGTTCAGATGTAGATAAATCAGCAAATTTCGGTAGTACTCTACATCTCAATAACGACGAGTCAGTAACCTTGGAAGAAATAGAATCTGACTTACCAGTCGGAACGCATGAGACAATGCAACAGCAAACGACGATAAACTCGTCTCCCAATTCAAGCGTCGTCGGTACTATGATCACGAACGCCTATAATAAGGTTGTAAATAGCGTCACCGACTTGCTGCAAACGCGCTCTTGCTCTCCGGAACCCGAACCCACTGCACTTTTCTCAAAGCGTGCCGGCGGCTATCCTAAGCCAAAAAAAGTTCACGCTATCTCCAGTGGTCGAGGCAGGGGTAGGGGTCGATCACAACTCAGACGGTCCGGGGTCAGTCAAAAGAGACACAGGAAAGAGCGCAGCAGGTATGACGAATCATCAAAGATTTTTTGTAATCGTAAAAAAATTCACGAAAATTTTACCAAAAGTTTAAATTAAGACGGATGACTATTATTTTCAGGTATGACAGAACAGATGATATCAAGTTTGATATTGAAAATTGGGAACAAATGGAAAATTACACCGAAGCTGATGACGTCGACGAAGCAAGTGAGGATGTCTGTGATTTTGCTGGTGGTGTCAACAGCATTCACAAGCATTTGCTCACCATTAGCTTTGAAGACATCATGCCTATGAAGATAGAACAAGAGCCCAAGGGCTTAAGACACTCCAATTTACCCGAAGTTTCCAGCAAACTTAGCTTTATCAGCGACGATGAAGAAGAAGAAGAATACGAAGATGATGATGATGATGTATATGACGATGACATCTATGACTATGAAGACGATAACGTTGAGAGCGACGAGAGCAGCGAAGAGGAGTTCGTGCAATTCAGTTGTACTAATAGAATTAGATTGTCCTCTGTGAGCTCGGTCGATTCCGACGATAGCTTTTGTATCGTTTTCAATGACGGTAACGAGTGTAAGACTAGTATTAATCCTGAAGCTGAAGCTCAAGTAGAGACTGAAGCTGAGGATGAAGTTGAGGCTGAGACTGAATGTATACTTAAGAATAAGAGTAAAGATTCTGATTTCAACGTAAAAGAGTGGAAACCATCTAAGGTGAATATACATGAAACAAAATTCTCGTTATAAAGAATGTATAACAAAACATTCAACTTTTTATAGGTACGTTTCAACTTGAAGCCCATTGTTCATACAATCGTACATTGGAGATACGCGCACAGAGCAGCTCGCCGTGGTCCTTGGGAGGAATATGCACGTGACCGCGCACGATTTCAACGCCGCGTTATGGAAATCGGCACTGTGCTCAAGCCCGTATTCAGTACCCATCATCGAGAGCGAATCTGGAATGAACGTTTTGCCAACGACGTTCCTACTGCGGTCAGTATTCCTTACTTTGTCCAAAAAGGAACACTGGTATAATTTATAAAGACAAAATGAAAAGAACCCGTGAAAAAGCTGGAACAGTTTTATCTGCAAAACATGTGTATAAAGACTGTAAATTAAACAAAGTTATATCAAAATGCTTTTGTAATGAAATATATATCCATCGTTAAGAGGATGGGTAACGAAGCTCGTGTAAAAAAAAAGTACTCGCAGATAGAAAGAAATTAATGCTGGAATTTGTCAGGATGAAAAAAAATTCTTGATTTTTAAATAAGCACTTTTAAAACACTATTCCAAATCATTCTTTACATTTTTCAGTGATGTTAAAATCTTTCTAGTTGTCTCTTCTGTCACTTTGAGTGCTTATTTAATAAACAGAGTAGCGCGCGTTTTTTCCTAACAAATTCCTTCAAAGCGAATTGTTTTGTTTTATGCATATTCTATGCTAATTTGATTTTATTGGCGATTGATCGCGGTTGAATTAAATGAATAATCATTCCTAAGTCGGCTTGGTAAAAAAAGTATCACTCCTTGTGTCGTCTTCTGTTTGCAAATTTTACTTGTGCTAAGTCAATGCGGTATCATATTATCTAAATATATAAATGGAATTCGATGTTAATCGAGCTTGTACATATATACGAGAGACATATTTAGAAATTTTTCGATGCTTTTAAAAATGGTACTTTATAAAAGAAGCATTCTAAATTTTAATGTTGAAGTCATACATTTTCATTATTCACTTATAGACAAAATTGATTAATGATTAAAAAAATAAGAAAACTTATGTGTTGTCCTTAAAATAGATCAAACTGTAAAGATTTTCTTTTAAATTCGTTCAATGACTAATATTACCGTTTGTCAAAAGTTCAAAATCATTGTAAAACATAAATACCATGTGTAATTAAAGGTTTATTGACTTGCTATATTATGTATATAAATACACTCATTAAATTTTTATGTATTTGTGCGTTCAAGGCAAAAAGTAGCCAATTTCGACGGCAATTATAGAAACTCGCCTAAAAACAACTTTAAAAGCGTTTTTATGAGTACCAATACATAGAGATGTATTTAATCTGTAGTAAATTTTACTGTGTACATTAATTTTTTTTTTTCTTTCATACATATTTCAAGCTAGGACCAATTTTTTTGTGAGTTTCTTTGTTGACGTCGAATGAAGTTGTTACTATTTATGTTCGAATATAGTTAATAAATTCATATACAATAATAATTCATCTCTTTTTTATTCACATGTTCAGTCAGCCGTAAACAGTTGTATACTTGAAAAAACGATCCTTACCCGTATTACAACGAAAATCTGCACTAACACGTGTAACAAAACAGACTGTGTCCACACGTGTGAAACATCAACATCCCGCTCTCTCCTTATCCTTTATCGCAAAATATTTAATCGTGGTAAAAAACATGGGAAGCTATAAAAGCGGATCTGCACCGATACCAGGAGGCGCGGTTAGCTGCACTTGCTCATATATTTCTTCTTTACATTTTCGTAATCCAGACAGTACGTGTACTATAATATACGTGCGCATAACGCTAATGACGTGTTAGAAATCGTGTCAAGGGCAAGTAGCCTTCTCCTTTTTTTCTTCTATTTCTTCATTGTCGCACCAATGAGAGATGCTCGCCACGTTCGTTACGTGATGTAAGTACTTATGTGCGAAGGTTTTACAGGAGAGCGCCTATAAGTATAATAATGTATGTATACAGGCACCTTGGGACACTCGATGAGGCGAGAGTGTTGTACGTAGATACATACGAACAGTCACATTTTTGTGTCAAATCAAGGAAGAAAAACGAGCTGGTTGATTTAAAAAAAAAATTTGTTTCAAGCTTATCTTGAAAATTGATTGATGTAATCAGTAAATAATATTTACATGGTAGATCAGTAGTTTTGTTCGTTGAGGAAAAACTTGATCAACTGATAAATATCAGTGTACAGATCAGTAGTTTTTTTATTTTTTACATTTAAAAAATCGGTAAAAATCGGTAAGAAAATTAAAACAAATTTGGTTTATATCTCAATCCTTTACATAAAAACGTAATGAAGATAACTCACAAGTACAAAGCTACCTTATAAAATTCACTACTATTTCTAGTTTCAATGTCGATGATATGAAAGACAATGAATACCAAATTATATAGTTACAAGCATAATTGAAAAGAAAATAAGAAAAAAAGAGAAACGAGAAGCCATTATTGCAAGGGACAATCGTTTCAGCGTAAATATACTTAGGCGTGGTACGGAGAGAGAAAAAATAATACAGACGCGTAAAGAAGCCGAGGACGACGTGGACTGAGGGCACCGGACCGTGCAAATTCAAACGAAACCGTGTCTTATCGATTTTCCATTCTTTTCACCATGTACAAGTGCGCTCGTGTTGTTATTAATTGGTCTTTTTAACAACATCCTTCTTACTTACTTTTCTCGTCGTTGAAAAATAATTACAATAACGAAAGTCTGACTAGCAAGATATGTTGGTCGAGTCTCTTGACTTCAACTTGCCGATTATTTTGCGAGACTTTGACGGACTTCAGTTGCGTTAATTCTCGTTACGAAACTTGTGAAAGAAAAAAAAAGGGTCGCGAAAAACTTTGCAGCGGAGAAAAAAGGTCGTTCGCATCTGCCTCGAAGTCGTGTAGCAGAGAAGAAGCACCGGAAGAGGATAAGTCTGTGACTCGACTGTGTGTTTTGCAATCGAGGATGGCTGTTGTTACGGGCTGTTGACTGGCTTATTGGTACGTTTCTGTTACGTTCCAAAGACTTTTTTTTTCTCCCCTTTTACACATTTTGCAACACTCTCACGTCGCGTGTCACATAACATAGTCTGTATCGTATTAGAACTCCACTTGACTACATACTTGTTAACAATGTTAAAAAAAAAAAAAATACTGATAAAACGTGTTTCGTTTGATTTTAAATTTTATTTAAAAACAGTGTTATGTATATATTTACATTTCGACAAATCAATACTTCAACAAACATTTTCTCTACCTTTCAACATGACGATCAATCGAATAATCCTCTCAACTTCTCTGGTGTGACAAACTCATCCGGATTCTCTTCGATCAAACAGCCTAGCATCTTGGGAACAGACAGCAGAGTGCCAGAAACAGCAGCCGGATAGCCGACACTCGTCGTCGTCGGGCAAGCGATCATCAGCCTCTTGGAGAAGTAATCGCCACACGCAGAAACGTGTCCGATTTCCACATACTGATCGGCATGCACGGAATACATTTCAAAGGAAAGTCTCATGCTTTCGGCTAAATTCAACTCCTTGGCTGGCCTGATGACCACGCGATAATGGCAGCCGATATCGTTGTAGATTTTTGTGGCTGCTTCGATCAATCTTTCAAATTCTTCTTTGTACTCTTTGCTGTCTTTGTCCTTGACGAGGGTCAAAGCCTGTACCGCTGATGCTTGACAGACTGAGAAGAGGCCGTGCTGGACCGTCAAAGAGCTGGGGAAAGGTGTGTAATGCCGGCCAGCCGAGAATATCCTTATTGGAAAATCGGATGGTTTGAAGGCCTGTTTTGTGTACATGGCAAGCATAGCAGGTAAACTGGCACCTCCCACTAAATGCAAGCGATTCACCAAATACTCTTCCTTGACGTCGGTGTCGTTTTGCAGCATAAAAGATTCTACCGAGCTCTCGTGGTCCATACCACAACCCTCGACTATGATACTTCGACAAAAGTCTGGTAGAGCTACTCTCATGGAGTTACTTTGTTTGAGGATTTCACCAGCTAGGGCTAAGGCTTCAAGTTCGAAAAGTGCTGCCTTGTCGCACAAGTAATATTGTATTGGGTTCTTGTACTCCAGCAAGCCTAAATTTTTACCGATATCTAAGTGACTGTGTCTTTCTCTGTTGATAAAGTTGGATTTCTCACCTACACTTTTCAATAAAAGAGGACTTTCTATTGGAGTACGCTTGTCAGTCTCATTTGGTAGCTTCAGAACTTGTGGGATGACGGATTCTTCAAGTTCCCAAGCAGCTTCTTTAATTGCTTTTATGTCTTGCTTTATGAGTTTGTTTTGATGTTGTAAATCTTCTTTACGTTTTAGATCATCCGCTGATAGGTCGTTATTTTTAAAAAATTCTTGCAATTGACCATTGACTATGGAAAGTTTTTCTTCCAAAGCATCTCTATTCGATCTTACAAACTGATAGTAATCCCATGCTTTTTTCAACTCTTGAGCATCAATTTTAATATCTCGTTGATTGAGTTCTTTTTGTAGGTTTTGTATGTCTGCAAAGTAATCACTGAAATCTATATTTGGAGTTAAGTATGTGAAAGTTTTGTTTGCCTTATTTCCAGGAACAAATAAGGCAGAGGAGTAAAGCCTCTGACTGTTTGAAATTGATGACATGACAGGCTTTAAGCCACTGAAACTTGCACTTCCCCTAACACAAAAATGTCTAATAAAATTTGCCATGTTAATTTAATTTTCTGTTTTCTTTGTGCACTTAAAATCCAACCACCTACAAAGTTACTCATCAACTTTCATACTCGAGTCTTTGTTTATATCATCCTCAGTTCGTAAGGTTTCAATTTTTCTTTTTTTTGGCAAAACAAAACTTCCCTGTCCAGCTGCTCTTTCTGAATCTTTTATTGTGTATGGTTCCAACTCTAGAGCTTTTAACCTCCTTTTGTGCACTTTCGTTCTAAAATGATCTTCCAGAGCTTTCTGATCAATGAAGTAACGCCTGAATACAATGAAATTTTCAACTATCAATAAGTTTTACCGGTAACTGCAACAAAGACATTGATAAAATGTATACAAGACTTACGCGCAATGTATGCAGTAGTGTTGTGCGGCTCCTGGTTTGTCCAAATCAATCTCCTGATTCAGCAGTTGCTTAACATTTTCTTCTATCAAGTCTTCATCGATCTTAAAAAAAAAATTAAGCAAAATGTACATTTTTCTAAAATTGTACCCTGAAGCTTATGCCTACAAGATTTATTTTGGAGCACATGACACGAACGAAGGTTATACACTGTTTTTATTTTTACCTCATCGAGATCTTTAGTTCTCCTTTTGGTCCTGTGGCTCTTTTTAATGTGTAGAATACCCTTATGATGCTTTTTGCGCCTGTAACTCATTGCACTTTTGCATTAAACTGTATATTTAAATAGAATTAATTTACTACTTTATTTGTCAAGCACATACAATTTACACACGCACATGCACGTGCAGGTGAGTTTGTGCAGGAGTTGTGTCAGGTTAGGTGTTAGGTATACGTCATACACGTATATATATACTTTTTTTTTTTCAGTTATGCGAATGAATTGTACATTGGTATACTTAGGTGTAATATGCATGCATAAAGTGTTAGAGGGATGATACCAACCGCGTGAGGCGCGTTGTTTATGTCGCTATTCATTATTCGTTATCCATATTATTATGAGATTTACACCTCTTATAATTTATTTAAATAGCCCATGAGTGTGGGTCGAAATAATATAGCATATCGGATGCCACAGGGAGTGTATTCTCGATTATCTTCGATGTGCCATTTTTGTGAATAATTAATGTATAAAAATTGATAATTGTTAACAAGCCAGTATTATGGGTATATAAATATAAACAACACAAAAACGTGACCTGTGAGTTTATTCTTACTTGGGGAACTTTTGATTGTGAATTAAAAAATTGTGTTCATAATTTGTACGTCACTTTTTTCTAAAATAGCATCCGCTTGTACATTTCCCATTGTAATATATACTTAGGTAGAATGTTTCTTATTCCATGTATTGTGAGATTTATAAAATATGTGTTTTGTTTTACTTTGTTTCAAATTCGCGCTAAATTCGTTTGGTACGTTATTTTTTCAGTCCTTCAGAATTTTCTCATACAACAGTATAGGTTTTTAATAAAAGTACTAAAAATTATGAAATTATGATCAAATGGAGAAAAAAAAACATTTCCATACCAGAAAGATATTTTAAATTTACGTTATTTATATATTGTATACAAATCAACTAGATGGTTTCGATACCTATTAAAATCATTGCCTTTTATGTATTTAAATCTTCGAAACCGTCAGAGATATGTAAAACTAAAAGGTTGAAGTTTTTTTTAATTCATAGCAACAATAATTGGCTTACATGACCGCAAGAATCATCATGATGTAAAGTCGTTGAATAACGTCGATTTGATAGAAATGGGATATGTTTCTGGATGAAACAGTAAACGATAAGTATTCATAATTCGACCATTAAAAAAATTATAGACACCATAATGAGACGAGAAGTATCATTTATTTATTTATTTTTTATTTTTTTCCAATACCGAAAGTCCATATTTCAGCGGTAGAAAGAAAAAAAAATTTCAATGTCTCTTGCAATCATTTTCTTCAACATGCACGTTTCAACGAATAACTGAATCTGACGGTTGCACATCTCAAAAACTTAATTGCGTAACATGGGAGTTTTTACACTACGTCAATATTTTCTTCCTGAGAAATTCTTTGAGGAAGCCTTTTTTTTTTACTTCAAGAGATGTCGATATTTAATGCAACGAAAAAATGAATTTCCAGCGTCCAGCTACGGATAAAAAACGTACAATCATGAGGATGACAATAAACCACATTACGTGGGTTTCGCCTTTCGTAAGTATGTCAAAAAGACGTTACGTGGATAAAGTACTTGGTGCAAGAAAAATAAATTTTCATTTTTTGTTATTACAAGTATATGTATACCCGTAATATGACATCAGTGAGTGGCTACGAAAACGTTTTAGTGTATCCGTATGAGTACATACTTACTGAGTGAGAGGAAAAAAACAAAAACGAAAAGTAGATCGACTCGAACGTTTGTTTACTTCCCCGTTCTCTTGTCATATATTATTGTTATTATAGGCATACTCGGATGGGTTCGCCGTCGATTTTGACATAGTCTCGAACACTTAGAAGATTGATTTTGTTTTTCTTCCAAATATTTGTGTACGTGTATAAAGCACGAGATCAGGGCGCAAATCCTTTGAAATCAAACGATTTTTTAAAAATGTTTACCATCTTTCTGTGTGCGTATTTTTTCAACTACACGTTTGTTGAGAAATCAGAGTCGCGGTTGCGAATAATATTGTTGGCAAGGTTTTCGGCTAAACAGTCACAGGATACTTTTTTAACTTTTTAGAAGATAAAACTATTCCTGAAAGTGTAATGCATTATTTGCGCTAATGGTTATTTTTTTCTTTAAACTACAAGTTGTGACAGAGTGTTTTTAGCAAAATTTTTTTCCAGCAAAAACCCATGTATGAAAAATTTGAAGGAAAAAAATTTTAATATTCGACTTCAAATACTTAACAAAATGAACTAAAATGTATTGCGCTTACTGTTTAAAAATTGATGAAATGATTGAGCCCAAGTATGCATGTATCCATGCACACCCGATTATCATAGCAATAAAACTACTGTAAAGAACAAAAAAAAAAAAAAGTAGTCACGTGAGTAATTATAACGAAATAAGCGCAGTACCGATGTCATTCCATTACAATAGCGCATTACTTAATTATAAGCCCCACGCACTATGGATCGTATATTATACATGTGTACATTTGTAATAAATTTAATGCCAAGGCATTACGTAAAGACGAAACGATGTGGCGCATTTACTTATACGTAGTACATATATATGTACCTATATATGTACAAAATATGTTGTTACTGCGCGTTAAGGAGCTGCAGTAGCGTGTGTGTCAGTTTTAACGATTGTTGATGCATCAGCCACCGACCGCAACAATCGTTAAAAAAAAAAAAAAAAAAAAAAAAAAAAAAACACATTACGAAGCTACGTGTTATTTTACTCTGACGGCACATGGTACAGGTAAAAACAGACACACAGAAGCCTTACGCGGTCTCTTAAAATTCCGGCACCTCATCCATATACCGATCTTTCAGAGGCGCATACATACATTTATAATACACATGTATTACAGTGTTACAGGGAAATAAATCAAACTTGCGCCGATTTACCTTTCACCCTTGAACAAAAGAAAAACTCGATACATCACCCACAAATGTAAGTATTACGAGGAAGGATGAAGTTGGAGGAGAAAAAAAAAAAAAAAGAAAAACCGGTACGTGCCATTTTAATTAAATGGAGATCGTACATAGTATATTATGTGATGTAAGTGTACCTTTTCGCGTCCTCATCGAGACCAATGTTCTTTCTCATTTCGCACATGCCGTATTATTTTCGCAGCTCCCTGATGGACAGTGGGGAAGGCATAAATTTGTCCGGTCTGCCGTGCGTATGTGTAATTATAAGGTCCGCGGGAGTAGTTCGGTGGCAGTGCATGGTTTCGAAACAAGAGGCCAAACACATGGTTCTTGCGGATTGGCATTCGGGTCGCTTACTGGCTACAAAATTTTTTTTTTTTTTTTCCTTCAAAACGTGCTCAATACATCCGTACGGGGACGTTGATTTGAGTCACGCTCGACTTGGAGGCCACGGGGAGTCTTGGCTTTTTTTTTTTTTTTTATCAATTTTAGTTGCCCAAAGGCGTATACGACAATGTATTACCGCAACAGCTGAGAAACAAATGAAAAATCGAAGGCCAACTCTATACAATTTACTCCGCGGTTCGGGGCGAAACGCGCCATCATCACACGCAGAGAGAATCGGCTTCACACTCAACTCTCTGATGCCTTCATTGCAAAAGACGTAAAAATCTTTGTTCCGTGACTTTTAAACAAAGCCATTCGTCAAAGCAAATACATACGTATGTGTATATTTCCTCGAAGGTCCCATCACCCGGAATTAGCGATAAACATATACAAGTGGACTTATTTTTGTAAATTTTTGCAACTCGCCACATTTTCGTACAAATCGATGGAGCCCTCGATTCTTACGCTATCACGTTTGTACACAAAACTTGTGTAAATCAATCGAACGACAGTCATTGACCTACTGCTGCGAGAACCTGTGACTCAAGATTTAATTTAAATACTCGCGACTCGCGTTCGGTGGTTTGATAGAACAATTCCCTAATTTGTAATTTTAATTAAATTCTTAACAAGGTCTTATTTCATACAGTACGAAAAAACCACATTTTCTATTTTCGCACACTCCATAAGAGTTTTTTTTATAGGATAATTTTACTTTAATGTGATAAATATTATGATTTCATTGACAGGTTTTACACATCTGAGCTTGTAATTTATATATGTACATTTTAATACTTACTGTAGCAAAAAAAAATAAATTTAGTTTGGTTTGTTCTTAAATATCTTATACGATTGTTTCATTAAAAAAAACTTTAGATTGCAATAAATTACTAAAACTTTTAATTTGCTACTCAACGTAATTTAATATTGTTGAATAAATTTCTACCTGCAGAGAAAATACTGAAACATTTAACGATAGCAAGGCTCATTCATAATTTTATGATACCAAACAAATGATTTTTAAGGTTATGAATGAAATTTAAATGGTTTCAAACTTCCCAAAAATGATAAACATCCAGTTTACAAGAGAAAATAGCCAAAGGCCCAAAAAATTTACTTTCGTTTTAATAATTTCCTCAACAATTATTACCAGTAAATTTCTACAATAGTATTTTTTTCAATTAAAAAAAATGGGTGCTTAAAATTTTTTGCTGTCAGCACATAGATATTAAAATTATATCAAATCCTACAATTTAAATTGCACCAGTGGCTTTGATAAATCCATGCAAACTTTACATATTATTAAAATTGATACAACAATTTCCTTATTTGTAATATCAATATAATTTTCGAAATAATTTTATTTTATAGATCCCGAATTGCTTAATTTTTTTTTTTT